ACCGAACGCCGAGCAAGATCATGGAATTGCTTTGCGAAATGCCTCCTGGACCCCACGACACCAGCAAGGAGCAGATCATTCGAGACCTTACGACTGTCCTGGAGTCCCACAGGGAGAACACGGTTCGGCATCACTACATGGACAAAGGGATCAAGTTTGTCATCAAGAATTGGCGACCCGAAGACCTACGCAGAGACGAGGATGGAAGGAGAATGAGGGTGTGCCCGGCATGCTACAACATCGTTCCAGCATGCTTCTCCCGATGCACGTCTTGCTGGTCACAGTTCGTTTCTAGCGGATATTACCAAGGTTCTCCACAACGGGAGACTCCTACGGAGATCCCCAGTGACTTCATTGCTCAGACAATGGAAGCCGCGGCAGCAGCAGTGCCTGAGGCGCCCGAAGAGGAGCAGGAAGCCATGGAGGTAGAGACCGTTGCGGAACCTGAGGAAATCCCAGAACCATCTGTCATCGCGGAGGACGATCCAGAACAGGAACCTGATGAAGAAATGGACATAGAGCCAGGAGAGGACTTTGATGACGCAGTACCAGATGCAGTTGCACAGGAACGCCGTCCCGTCTTCATTACCGGCCAGTCTTTGAACATCGATCCTGAGCTACAACTGCACGTACCGCCATGCAGCCATCCTACTACTCAGGGAAGCGAAATGCCCATTGCATTGACGCCAACATGGTCGCTCTTTCGTATATGGCTTTCGTGGTATGCAGGACCATCTACAAGGCTTGGTCAGGCTTCGCGAAGTGGGCTACTATGCCGTTGTTTCAGATGAAGGAGAACTTCGCACTTGGCCAACGTTATGATGTGCTTGGAAAATGGGGATCATTGGCTGTAGTGGACAGAGAGACTGGTGTGAGCAGGGATGTGACTGATGAGGAGATCATTCGCTTTGCCAAGGAACCTGAGAACTTCAAGCAGTATGATCCCAACGGGACTTACACTTTGAAGCGCTTCCGGACGAACCAGATGCTTTCGTTGATTACACGGGGAGCCAACATGATGGGAATTGGCAGGGACAACTTCAACCCTACTACGTACTTGAAGAGCAACAGGGATGAAGATGTGAAGGCTATGCACTTTTGTTGCCTGAACGTCCTGTGCGAGGTGATTCCGATGGTGACGGGACACCAACAATTCTCAGTGCTACGACCAACGCCAACTGGACCGGTGGACTTCTTGTACATCGACCCCGTCGGTATCCTGCTGACTCATTCCGATCATTCAGTCCAGACCATCGGATTGCTGGTGGACCACAATGTGCAAATGCCTGCGCATTTCATGGACAGATTGAACAGATCCAAGGCTGAGAGACAGCAAAACCCGACGACCAAGCGTACTGAAGCCCTACACCACATTTCGGCCGCTGACTATCTCCCTCCAGGTGGTACTTCCATCCTGGACACGCCTGTCACTACGGAGGAACGTGCAAGCGCTTCTTCGGCCAAGGGACCTTCAAAGGGCGTGAGAGAACCGGAGGTGAACAGCATGGAGGCTGGAACGCCAACACCTACTATGACTACACCGCCGGCAAAGGCCGAAACAAAGGCAAGGACAAAGGAAAGCAAAGGGAACAGTATACAGAGGAAAACCTCCGGCCCTGGGACCGCGATCCTGCGACCACGCGAAGATGGAGATGAATCAACGCTTGGTCTTCCTCGCCTATCAGTTCGTGACCTCTGAGCTTCGCCCATGGAATGCCATCGCGAATGCTTCTTTCTTCGGTGACGCCTGATTCGTTTGCCATTTCAGGGGATCGTTACTGACGTAGATGAGTGTCACAACGTTTCTAATTGGGATGCAAAGCTCTGATTTTCAATGTCAACGTTGCGGCGGAACATTTTCTGTTGTCCTATCGTGCCATCTTCCGGGTGAGCAGCGTCGGAGACGCAACTCATGGGGGGTGCGAACGGACTGCGATGCCTTGTCAAGTTCTAAGGTGTCACTATAAGAGCTGTGAGCAAGACCGTGTAAAGTGCAAGAGAAGGGGGCACGCTACGCGTCCCTCGACTCTAAGGGGGCACGCTACGCGTCCCTCATCTTTACCTTTCTATGTGACCGCCCACGCAACGTTTGGCTCAAGTCAATGCCCATAGCTAAGTGCTATATGTGTCTTCTATCCTGAGCAATCAGAGCTATCCCGTTGCACAGACGAACCGCCGCCGGCAGTGAGTGCAAAAGGAACGGCCGCCGGTTCTGCCTGCATAGGATTGCACGTGTGGAAGTGTAAGAGAGACAGGGTCCAGTCTGTGGAGAGTGCAAGCCAGCCACACCTACATTCATTACAGCTCTGGTGGGGAGAGCAGCAACCTAGTCGAGATCAATCCCCCACGCAATTCAGCACAAGCGGTCAAAAACAGCTTGTGCTAAAATGCTGGTACGTGCAGGATTCAGGTGTCGCTGCCATTTCAAGATCATGAGTGAATGTCCCAACAGGCTCGCTGTTGGACCCTAATTTTCAGGACAGATGAGTGCTGCAAGATCCGCCTCGCACGACAAAAAAGCCTGCGCATAGGAACGTCAGGATGCCACCGCTTTGAGCACACATCTTGTACATGTTCGTTTGCATTCAGTGCTTGTGTCGGTTGGTAGAAACAAACGTATGACAAAGCGAAAGGCTGCCGAGGCCGGCCTTCTATGGTACTCTACTTGAAGCATGTACGCCCCATTTGGGGCTGTGTGTGTGTGAACCTCCCTAGCACATGGGAGCAGAGGGTCACTCCTACACTGTTTGCAATTTTGCTTTTCAACATAATCCGACATTGGACATTTACCAAATCAACTGTTGCAGGGGCATTGGGCACTCCTTGGCAGACCCAATGCAACGAAGCTATGCCATGGAGTGGGAAGCAGTTCAGGACGCTGAACTGTGTACCTGCAAGCTGGGCCCCCTGAGGCAGCCAGATTAGAAAACGCTGGGGCAGCAAGATTAGTGCATTTACGGTTTCCACCTTTTGCTTGAGCGCAAAGTTTTGCACGTTTGCCGCAATCTGAAAAAACTTTTACAACAACATGCCTCTCTTTTTCCTCTTGCACTCGTACTCTTGGCCGAATCCATCAGTGTGTGCTGTCTGCCAGCTAGCTCCTGCAGTGCTAGGTTGCTTCGGCTGCTGCTGCTGCATGCTCGAGCCACAAATTAAGAGTGCACAGAAGCAGTTTGCCATTGCAGGCTAGGCTCATGCAGCTAAAACTTCAACATCGCTCATGCCTTGCTCGTTTTTTTTACACTTTAAAAGCTTCAGTCCTTAAGCCCTTTGCAGGCTGCCCTAAACCTCTCCTCTTAGCTTCGCCTTCTGCAGGCTGTGCTTCTCAGACCTCCCTTCAGTCCTTGCCTTCTGCAGGCTTTCCTTCTCAAACCTCCCTTCAGTCCTTCGCCTTCTGCAGGCTCTCCTTTTCCGGTTCTCCTTCTGCCGCCTCTGCCTTGGCAGGCTCTCCTTTTGCCGCCTCTGCCTTTGCAGGCTCTTCTTTTGCCGCCTCTGCCTTTGCAGGCTCTCCTTCTGCTGCTTCTGCCTTTGCAGGCTCTCCTCTCTCTCTGCTAAGCAGATCCTCCTTGAACTTCAGCAAGGAGTCTCTGTCGACCTCTTCGGTCTGGAGCTTCTGCAGCAGCAAGTCCATGACTCTGGACTGCTTCTCGCCTTTTTCAAGGTTCACGTTGACCAAGGGTTTTTCTTTGCCATCGCTGGCTTTGAACGTGATGTAAGCCTTGCACGAGGCTTTAGTCACTTTCACGAGACCGTGAGAAACGGTCTCGTGCCATACCTTCTTCGTGCCATCTGCCGGCGCAGCCTTCTTCAGGCTCGGCTTCTTCAGCACCTTGTCTTTGCCTTTTGCAGGCTGCTTGGCTTTTGCAGCCTTCTTTGCCATCGCTGGCTTCTTCTGGAGCAGCACAGCTACCGGCACCACACCCTTGCTGGATGCTGTGATAGCCGTGCTCGAGACACTGACTACATCGGCATCTACGGCATCTGCTGCCTGCTCCACAAAGATTATGGGGCTCTTTGTGTTAAGCCTTCGCAGGCTGCCCTTAGTGCTTGTCTGCGAGTCCTCTGCGGACTCCATGGGCACAGGCCTCGACGGACTGCTCTTGCTCTTGGCGGCTGGTCCTCTCGGACTGGTACTCCTTCGGGAAGTACCCGTTTGTCCTTTCGGACTGCTGCCACCGGACCCAAAAAGAGCCACCATGAGATCCCGAATGATCGGGTGAGTTCTGTCACCCGTCTTTTGGTTCCGGTGCTTGCGATTCAGCCATTTTCTGGCTTCCGCAACACCATTTATCATGGCATTCATGTCGCCTTCGGGTAGGCGAGGAAAAGCGCCTTTCCAGGCTGCCCTAGACTGCGGTTTGCTAAAGCCCATCGGGCACCACAGCTTCAAGAACCGTTTCATGCTTTATGCAAGCTTCCTCCGGATCTGACGGCCAATCTGCCTTTACAGGCTGCCTCGTGAAGAACTCTTTCAGGACGGCTTTTCCTTGCTCTTTGCTATCGCTAGCTGCCTTTCCTTGCAAGTCTCCATCGCTCGCTGCCATGTCCTACAACTATTGTTGACTATATTTGCTATCGCTAGCTGCCGGCTGGCTATGCTAATATATAGCCGGGCCACGGACCGGCCGCTACAAGTAGTGGTTTTCTCAAATGCATGTGATGATGCAGCCTATAGCCTGCTGTCAGAATGTCGTGCTTCCTACCTCGAACCTGTACAGCTAGCAGCTGCAGAATACAGTTCCGGTCCCGGAGGGACGATGCTCTTATTTCCGTGTGTTGATGAATTTACTTTGAAAATTCAAGCGTGGTTTTCATGGCAACTTTTCATGCTTCAGCTTTTCAACACATGTCATTCGCTTTGCGTTTGGACAGTGGAATCCCTTGACCATCCGATGCCTCTGCTCGAGATGGGGAGGGATGTGGAGGTAGAAACTTTCTCTGGCCCATGAAATTTTGGGTCGGGGGGGTTTGTAGGTGGGTCTCCTCTCGAGCCTAGCATTATGGCAGGCCTTGAACCTCATTCGCTTGAAGAGGAGTATCAGCCTTCCGAGTTTGCTCTGAGTGAGCCCATCGACCGAGAGCCCGAGGACTCTTGGGATGTGTGCAGTGTCCCGTCAGGAGTTTCTGTCACAAGCCGTGCAAAGGAAGCAGCTTCATCTAGCCTTGGACTGAAGGGAGAGTCAGCGCCTACCACAACACCTCAACAGAGGGCGTTGGCCTTGGGAGCATCTCTCTTGACGCTTGGTGATCCGGTTCCTTCTTTCGCTTGGGAGTCTGGGTTTTGGGAAAGCTTCTTCAATGACAAGCCCGCAGTAGACAGGATGGTCCCAGCGCTCAAGTTTCATAGACCATCTTTCGCAGGTTCCATAGAGGAGCCGACACCGCCACAGGCTGAGGTTCAGGCTTCTGTGAAGAGGCCTCGCAAAGAGGGCCCTTCCTCTTTCTTGGAAGTTGTCAAGAATAGGAGAGTGATCTCTTGGAGGGACAAGCGAGAGGCTGAGCATCGTAGGGCGTTGTGCAAGTGGTCGTGCATCTTCGACAAGCTTGATTGTGAATCCGACCCTGTCATCAAAACCATTGCCTCCTTGTCCGAAACGGAGAAGTTCAACACACTTGACGACTACATGGCAAGAAAAGCCCCTAGTACCATGACAAAAAGGGCCAATTCGATTTTGAAAATCATCAAGGTTGGTGAAGCCAAGGGGTTGATGTTCCCGGTGAGTGAGCCTCAGCTTTACGAGCTTCTGCAAGAGGCAAAGACGGGCGGGGCCCTCCCGTCTCAACTAAGAGGGGTCATGGAAGGGCTCCTCTTCGCTCGTCACGTGTTCAACATCGAGGCCTTCAGTCAAATTGCAATTAGCAGGCGCTGCTGGGGGGTCGGGGCCTCTCGCCTTGCAAAGACTCCTTCGAAGGCAGCGCCCTTGAGAGTGATCGACCTGGCAGCATTGCATCAGGTCCTCGATTCGAGTTCCAACCCATGGGACCGCCTTTTCGCCGGCTGTGCATTGTTTTGCGTGTACTCACGATCCCGATGGAGCGATGCACAGCACGTTGATTCCTTCAAATTCGACAAAGGTTCAGACAACCAGAAGGTGCACTACCTTGAGGCAGTCATAGACATCCATAAGAATATGAATCGGCGCGGGAGGAGCCCTGTGCCTCTCGAGCTCGTCGCGCCGGGTTTGGGGGTGTCTTCGGAAGGTTGGATTGAGAAATTCCTTGATGCAAGATCCGCCTTGGGCCTGTCCGCCGAACATGCATTCATGCCTGCTCCCGATGCCAGAGGAGTCCCCACCATCAGGGCATTGGATTCTGATGAGTGTGGAGATTGGTTGCTTAGACTCCTTCCTGCCAGGGAGGGCCTGAAGACAACTTCGCACAGCCTTAAAAGGACCTTGCTCAGTTACTGCGCCAAATGGGGAATCAGCCATGACGATCGCTTGGCGATGGGGGGTCATAGCCACCCAGGACGCATGAGTGACGAGTACGCAGATGATGCAATGGCTAGGCCTCTGAGACTCATTGAGATGGTGATCACAGCAATCCGATCAGGTCGGTTCCATCCCGATTCCACAAGGGCTGGACGTTTTGAGGGGGGAGAGCCCCCTGCAGGTCTTGCCGCTCCTCTTCAGGAAGAGCCTGAGCTGAGGCCGCCCACGAGCCTCCCCGCGCAGGAAGCTCAGACCAGTGAGATTGATCGGATGCTGGACCATAGTTCCAGTGACGAGCACAGCATCGGGGCTGCGCCTTCTTTGCCGGGAGCTGAGAGCATGCCGCTCCTGAAGCAGTCACTTGTAGCAGATGAAATGCCGGTTGCTGAAGAGTCTGGAAGTGGGCGGTCAACAGACAGCTCATCCTCGGACTCATCCAGCTCAAACTCGAGTGCCAGTGTTCCTGAGCCCACAGTGCGGCCAGTTCGACTCCTGCCTCCGCCAGCGCCTGCTGATGGCTGCAGGTTCGTCCAGCATGCAAGGTTCAAGACGCTGCATTTGCAGCGGTTGCGACATGTCAACATGACCTTGTGCGGCAGAATCGTGAAACCTCCAATCGGGGAACCTGGAATTTTGAGATATGACACCCCGGTTTGTCGGGCGTGCAAGAAAGTGGCAGCTACCGACTGACACCCATGCGCAGGAGAAAAGCGCTTCCTCCGAGAGCGGAAAACAAGTTTGGATGTCATGCTGTAGATTTGCCACACTTTGGAAGGAGCCGCGCGAGCTGTTTGATCGGATTTTCGCTTCACTGTTCCGCTGGAAACTTGAGGCTGACACTGAAAGCGTGCGGTGACCTGCTGTGCCCGTTCGAGTGTGACCCAGTCAGTGGCAGATCCGGAACAACATGCTAGCGAGGTCTGTCTATCTGCTGGGAGAGGATATACAACTGCGCCTAGTCTGTCATGCAGGTTTGGCCCGAAGCCCCTCAGGATCTTCTGCCGAGAACAAGCTATGGCCCTCGTGGATTCGCACGCCTCCTTCCGGAGCAGATGTGTGGAGATATGTGGGGGAGACGAGATGTACCGGAAGCTTGCGGGGAAGGAGATCAAATCCTTCTCAGACCTGGCTTTTGCGTGCGGGACCCCGCAGGCCCCTCCGAGTGTCGATGAGTTTCGGGCGTTCTCTGAGGACGTCTTGGGCCTAGGCGCCAGCTTGGGCGAGACTTCGAAGCTCACTCGCTTGCACTTCGAAGCGGCGACATATGTTGTTGCCCAGCTGAAGCAACAAGTAGTAGGTGACACCACCGATGAGCCCAAGCGTCTTCCCTTGGCGGAAAAAGAGGCTCGTTACCGAGAACAGCGGATACGGCTTTCAGGACTTGTGATCCAGGGCGAGCTGCTTCCATCGCACGCACTGGTGGACGCGGTGGCCCACATGTCCGAGACCAACTGCTTGACCTGGTTGGCTCCTAGCAAATGCACAAAACGTGATCAAGAGTTGAAGGTTGGGCCCAAGGAGAAGTCCAGGGTCCTGACCGTGCTGGATAACTCGGTGACCGTCACGGCCCAGCCAGACAAGCTCATTGCAGAGCACAGTACGCCGCTTCAGCTGCAGTGGTGCATGCAACGACGCGGCCTAGCCTTCGATATGAACCGCATCATCTCCTGGGAGACCCATGAGAAATGGGTTTGCTACCTGCTGCAGTGCTTGACTTCTGACTCCATCCCAGGATACAGTCCTGTAACGGTCGCCCAGGTCGTTAAAGCTGATTCTGAGATGTTCCTGTTGATGTCCAAGGAGATCAAGAATGTCAAGGCAAGCGCAACAGGCGAGATGGAGGCTGACACTCTGTTGGACCGCTTGAGAACGGATCCACGGATCACGATGCACTTGCTCCCGCTACCAAAAGCCCTCAGCAGCCTCGCGACGGATTCGGTCATCGACGGATCTCTTGATGGGGATAAGAACCCCAAGAAGAAGCCGCGCCGCGAGCGCCGCACATCCGCGCTCACAGGGGCGGTGAAGGTGGACAACATGCCCAAAGAACTCAAAGATTGCAAGTTCTACACCGATCAATCAGGCCGTCGACTCTGCTGGACTCACAACACCGGGACTTGCAATGCTGCGACAGATGGAGGACACCCGCCAGCATGCAAGCGCGGAGTGCATGCCTGTATGGGATGCCGGAAAGCTGGCCATGGATGGTCGGCCTGTTGGTTTAACAAAGCCAATGGCAAGGGCAAAGGCGGGAAAGGAGGAGGAAAAGGATCCGGGAAGGCCGACGGGAAGATCGACAAAGAGTGACTAGCCTCCCGTGATCGCTCCGACAGAACAGTGCATGCTAAAGCCAGGAGTCGCTCTCCCAAGAGAGTCCGTGCTTCCGGCCCCAAATCTAATTCAGATCGAGCTGAAACTCCTTGCTATGACCCGCCAAACTTTTCTGGAAATCGTGAGCCCCAAGATCAACTCTTGTTGAGCTCCGAAGTGAGTGAAGAGCCGGCTTTGCAGCATCGTGATTCTTCCGTGTGCTCGGCCCGTGCCTTCGCCGCAGATCCTGCTCACACCATTTCCGAGCCAGACCGTTTGAGTTTTTCCTTCACTCCGCTTGAGGTGTCAGACTTCGGCCAACACCCGGCTGAAGAATTCGCAAGAAATTGTCTTCAGCAAGGCTCAGGAGACTCTTCATCCTGGGTGAAACTCGCGGAGCTCCTGCCCGACGAAGAATCCACCCGTGAAACAGCGAAGGATCCACTTGAGAAGTGTTTCATAACGGGCGCTTACAACCAAGGAGGGATCACCGGCGTGCGACGTCGCTGCCGAGAGTTCCCAGCCTGCACCCGTCTTCTGGTTGCCCTAGCTAGGCTTGCCTTTCCCGGTTTAAACTTTACATCAGTTGGCCTTTTCCGGAACATGCAGACTGCTCTGCACAAAGACGCCAACAACTTGCCGGGATCTCGTAACGGGATCTGTGCCCTTAGCTTCTTCGAAGGAGGTCAGTTGCGTCTTCACCGCCCCGATGGGCCAGTGGACTTATCACTCAGTGAGGGACCGCTTCAGTTTGACCCCTTTCTCGAGCACGAGACACTGCCGTGGTCTAATGGGTTTAGGATAGTTTTGGTTGCATTCTCGGTCAACCGCCTCGAGCGACTTACGCCGGAACACCGGGCGATGCTGACTGCGTTTGATATTCCGCTGCCGCTTTCTAAGGAACAGCTTGAGCCCGCATCGCAGTTTTCTCAGGACCAATCCAAGCCAATCTCGCAGTGCCCTCAGGACGATGGTGAGGCAGGCATGTTCCTTGAATTGTTCGCCGGCACTGCCCGCTTGAGTCAGGCATTCACACGCTTGGGTTTCCAAGCCTTGGCTTTTGACAAAGTATGCAAATCCAGCCATCCCGTTCAAGCACTCGATTTCGCTGATCGGTCGGAGTGTGAGGTCGTGCTGCAATTGATCCAGGACCATGCCTCTTCCTTGCAGTATGTGCACATGGCGCCGCCTCAGGAAACTTGTTTGGCGGCCCGGAACAAGGAATCTGCCAATAATTCGGCCCCTCAGGCCAGATCTCTTGCGCAGCCCTTAGGTCTGGACGGACTGCCTGATTCGTTGCAAAGGAGAGTTACTGAAGCCAACGACCTGTATAATTTCTGTCATGATGTGTTCCAGTTGTGCCGGAAGTTCAACATTCCTGTTAGTGTGGAGGCTCCGGCCTCCTCCCTCTTTTGGATCATGCCAATCTTTCAGGGCCTCTTGTCAGGTCCCGATAATCATGTCGTGGATTTTCACGAGTGCATGCATGGAGGTGATCGAGATCGAAAGCTTCGCTGGCTTTGCTCTACTGCATGGTTCAAGCCCTTGGGGCTTTCTTGTAACCGCAAGCATACGCATGCACCTTGGAACGTGACTTCCGATGCAGGAGCCAAAGGTGCCTATCCACCTCTCTTGTGCGCTAGGGTAGCTGAGCTAGTTGCTTCTCAGGTCTGCAGAACCCCAGTGGCCTCATCTTTGTTCGGGCCATCCAGCTCAGTCACACGGCTGGCTTATGAGAAACAGCCCCGGAAGCAACGGGCCTTAGTCAGTGAATTCGGCGCTTACGACGCGTGGGCGGTGCCGCTGGGCTTGGCTGCCTGCCCGCCCGCCTTGTTGAAAGCCTACCCCAAAGGTGCTCGTGCTGTTCGTCGCAAGCTTTTGCATTGGGGTCAGATTCGGGCTTGCGTTCTTCCTAGCCTTGATTTTGCCGTGCTTGAATCCACTTTGGGATCCAACTGGAAATGGAGTTTGGACTCACATGCTCCTCCTCTCGAGGAAGAGGACCAGCCCATCTGCAAGGTTTGTGGATTCATGAGTGATTCGACTTTCGATGATTTGTGCGAGGTACTTTGGATAGGCATTCCCCGTACCCCGTCGGACTTCGTGCAGCAAGCAGTGTTGGCAGGCCACCCTAAAAGGATACTCGAGGCTCAGATCGATGAACGAACCAAGCTCCTTGTGGATAACCTCTTGAATGGACGGGCGGCTCACGAGGACCTGGGGAAATCGCGACTAGCCGAGTGGAGCAAGATCGCTAAGGAACTTGAGCCTGTGGAGGAACAAGCTCGGAAATCATTGGACCCTTTGGTGAGCAAGATCCTTGGTGGGAAGAGAACCTTCCTACTTGAGCGGTTGCTCGCCGACTCGTCCTTCCCGGACCAATCCTTAGTCCCCGACCTTAGGAAGGGTTTTCCGCTGACCGGATGGATGCCTAGGACCGGGTTGTTTGTTGCCGAGCCTCGCCCCCCTAAGACCAGCCTGGACAAACAGCTTAGATGTGCATCAGCCAGGAATGCCGCTACGCTGGCCAGGGTATCCTCTCAGGCGGTCGATGCTGTCGCTGAGAAGGCTTGGTCCGAAACTCTTGAGGAACAGCAGAAAGGCTGGCTGTTCGAAGACCCGGATCCGGACCTTTCGTCGATCCTACTGGCCCGAAGGTTCGGCATCGTCCAAGGTGCCAAGACTAGGGTAATAGACGATGGGAAGGCAGCCGGAATCAATCAGACCGTTGGATTGCCCGAACGTTTTAGGCTGCACAACATTGATTTCATCTCGGCCTTCCTCGTCTGGGCCATGATGGACCCACGAGCTAAAGGGAAGCAGGTGTCGGGGAAAACTATTGATTTAAAATGGGCGTACAAGCAATACGCCGTCGATCCCTCAGACCGAGAAATCTTCAGAATCATCGTGCTTGACACTTGCTCGAGGAAACCCAAATTCTTCGGAGCGGCAGCGCTCCCCTTCGGAACGACGGGGTCAGTGGCTGGTTTTCTCAGAACATCTGCAGCCACGTGGCACATCGGCTCAGCCCTGCTGGGCCTTTCTTGGTGCAACTATTTCGACGATTTTCCTCTTTTCAGTTTGGACGAGCATTGCCCTTGCGCCGAGTCCTGTGCGGAAGCCCTGCTTGACATCCTTGGAATAACGTTCGCCAGGGAAGGAAAGAAAGCCACCGAATTCTCCAAGCAATGTCGGGCCCTTGGTCTGATCATAGATCTGAGTGAGTTCGGACAAGGAGTCGTGTACATCAAGCACACGCCCGAGCGTATTCAGGAATTGAGGCAGACCCTCACACACATTCTTGAATCCGGCTTGCTTGAGTCGTCGGAGGCTGAGGCCCTTCGAGGCAGACTCCACTGGTTCAGTTCTTTCCTTTTCGG